GTAAGATTGCTTTGGAATTTCATCAGTTGTTCAGCACATGTGTTTCTAGGATAGGATACCATATTGGAGCTCGTACACAGGAACTCATCTGCCGCTATTTCGGTGCACGGCCGAGAGACCGGTAAGTATTGTGAACCTTTCACCAAAATGTAAGGATACTTGGGAATTATTAGAGACGTTCTGTTTCTAAGTGCATCGAATACAGGTAATGGGTATAATTTGTAATAATTGTAATGAAAACTATCAGTAAGTGGAACTTCCATCAAGTACGTAATCTGGTTTCCTTTCATATAAGCTTTTATAACAATAGTTCTTTCAATTTTAATTAAATTCTCTACATTTACAGGGTATACTAGGTTATCAACTTTGGCTATATCATTAAGTATCACTAACAGATCAGATGAATTAATAATTGATTGGTGTAATACTGAAACTTTACTAAAAGCTAAAGCAGTTTCTATTTCACTAAGTTTAAGGTAAATACTACGAAAGTTACTGATAAACATATTATACATGCCTAAAATATATGTATTATAAATTGAATTATTTTCTTTGGTAGTTATGTATTTCACTATTCGTTCAATTCTTTTTAGGCGTTCATCTAATATTAGTTCATTTTCATGTAAAGTTTCTATACTATTCGCCAAACTATTCAGCATTTTAGAAACAATGGTGATTTTACTGTCAACATTCAATTTATTCTGCTTTAATTTAGATATAACGGAATCGTATCTAAGAGCATCTTCGTGATCCAAATTACCGGTGATAGTTTTAATGATTGATCCTAGGGGATCTATGAGACCTCTTTTAAACCTATTGGATGGTACAAGTTGTTTAAATTTTTCAATAGTTAAATCGCAAGAATAATCGGCTTGGGTTTTCATGGCTTGGAATTCATAAACATAAGGTTTATTTATATCAACTAACCTACAAAATTCTTTAAACTTATTAATACTTAAATCTAAATTTTCCTTAATTCCTAATAAATTTACTTCTTTGACTATAAGCCACCTGTTTGTTTGCTTAAAAGCTTGGCCTTCTTTTACAGGAAGCAGGCCCGGGTTGTTGTCAATTTTTTGAAGTTGAAGACTGCGGGTCCAAAGTATATGAGCCATAGTCAGGATGGCCATGCACCACCTGTGGAGGTCGTTTGAAATTTTTAATAGGGACCTTTGTCTCCCGTTCACCTATTTTAACAGGCACGGTATTACGTTCTACAGGGCCTTGAACAACAGCTTTCCTGTACCTAGCTTTGTCCTTACTTTTCCTAATATTGATGTCCTTTACGTACGCTATTTGCCCTTCGTTAAGTACTACATTTGCTTCTCCTACTTTCCTTTCCCTAGCTTTTTCTTTTTGTTCAATCATTCGATCGGAAATGTACTTGTATAAATATTTAGTGCGCTTTTGATGGTCTTTTAATAGCTGTTGGGTATAGGCCCTATCGAAATCGTTATCAAAAACCTTTCCGGAATCCGTATGCCCAAAGCAGACTTCAAACGGAGTTAAACTATTATTGGAGTGTACTGTGTGGTTATAAGCCATTATAGCGCTCGGCTTTCTAATATCTTTACAAAACTGCTTATAATTTAGTATGGATTCGCCTGAATGCACATCAGTTGGTAATTTAACACGTAGTTCCGATCTAGTTGGCAAAATAAAAGTGTGATTTTCAGAATTATGTACAATAGGAATATTTGTGGATTTTGTTGAAAGTATATGACGCTTTAAATCGATGACAGCCTCTAATTGTTTTAATACGTCATTACCTATAAGGCCATCATAACCCGAATCTACATTATATATATATAGAACTTGTGATATTCGCGGCTTTTAAATGTGGGTGGTAGCGGAATAACTATGACCTGATTATGGCTACTTGTAGCGTGTGTACTGAAAACCTCGAAGGGTTCATTAAAAATTTCGTTTTGAAAATATTGGTATGCCTTGCTTCGGCTTATAAATGAATGCGTGCTACCGGTATCTAACATGAATTTTGAATCTAACTCCGGGATATATATATAAGGTAATTTTAAATTTGTGTCATGGTTTCACGGTTTTTGTCTTTATCGTCTACGTTCACTTGCAACGAATCTGTGTCATCGTCAGAACCTAATGCGTTCATTTTGATACGGGATAGTGCGTCGGCGTTGCTTGAAGCGGTTATGTAAAAATTTTCAATATTTTCCGTCGTCTTAATATTTGTATCAACCGGTTTGGTTTCAGTTTCCGGGTTTACGATCTTTTCTGATTGATATTCGGGGTTATAGTAAGGATCGTCGTTAGGATATTGATCGAAATAATTTGCGTTTTCGTAGCAATACATGTCATCATTATAATAATTTTCATTTAACTCTAATTCGTTTAACCTAAAACCTTGCTGCGGTCGTGCTACAGGTGCTGTGCGCATCGACACATCTGTGTTAATTCGCGGTTGGTTATGCTGAGATATATTACTATCGTTGTTATATCGCTGCTGCATACCGAACTGTTGAGGACTCATTGAAGGTAAAGGATGAAGGCCGACAGGTCTATAGCCAAATTGGGGTGGACGATATCCGAATTGCTTTTGATTGTTATTAGGTTGTGGTGGTCGATAATAATTTCCTAAACTGTTAAATTGTCGCTGCTGACCTTGAGTCGGTAGCGGCATCTGCACCTGCTTATTCGGTGGAATGCCAAAATTATATCTAGCTGGTTGGTTCATTTGCATAGGCTTAAAACTATAAGACTGTTGAGGTAGAGTGTTATTATTACCGAATTTAAATGATGGCGAATTGTCATGCGATTGCGAATAAGATGTTAGATTGGATCCAGCCATTTTGTTCCTCATTTGGTACTGACTATGGAAGTTAACTTCTTCTAATACAGTACAGAGCGCATCCTCTAATGAATTTGGAGCTTTGAGACGCACTACTCTAACTAAATGTTCCGGTAAATTATACAGGAAAACGTTCAATGACGTATTTTCATAGATAGCCCTTTTACTATTGCGCATATTTGAGTCCGACAACCGGTTAACTTTACCCATTAAAATTGATCTCATAGATTGAATTCGACAACAAAAATCTAAATAACTTTCTCCGGGTTTAATTCTTAAAGTCTCAAGTTCGATATTTAAACACTCTTCACTTCGTGAATCTCCAAAATGCTGAATTAATAACTGCTTAAACTCATCCCACGTTGTAATATCATCGCGCTCACCGACTAATGCAGCTGCATTACCGATAAGGCGGGTTGTTATTGTATTCATCACGTACAAATTCTGTTGCGTTGAGCCATTAAATTTAGTTAAAACATATTCACACATTCTTAAAAATAGATTTAAGTGGCGTTTGTCACCATCAAACAAAGGAATGATTTTAATCATTTCACCAGGAATAAGTGTAATACTCTCCATAATTATGTTTTTTTTTTACACACAAACAATATAAAAAGAATATGAAATAAATCTAACTAAATATCACAGAAAATATTAAGGAATAAAATATATATGATTAATAAAAATATTTCTTGTATATGGTACTTATTAAAATAGGTAAAACTTAAATTATATAACAATTTTTTTTTAAAACTATTTAACCAGAATACGTTAAAATGAGAGAAGTTCGATCTCAAGATAACAGAACGCCGAGGTAGTGGAAAGGATGGTGAAAAGTTCTACTCACCAGCCACCAACTGCTCTCATGGTCCAGGATCAGCTCCGCTTCCTTGACGAATTTGATTTGGTTCGAGGATCGTCTCGGTTTTTTCTTCGCGCCGCGGACCTCCGATTCCGACAGAGTTTTATATCGAATTCACGAAGGACGCAACACTACCGAAGTATGACGATCCTACCGGCTGCGCCAGTCAAGTTTACGGGAACGTAAAATGATTTTTTTAAAAACTATTTAAAATCTATTTATTTCTAATTACAATAATTATAATTCTAATTACTTAATTAATACGTCTTGACAGAAGTCGATGTCAAAACGAAGTGGCCGCTCTCATGAGCTCTGCCTGATATCTCATGCAACCAAAAGCGCTGACTCTACAGTTACTGGATACTGCCTAATGCTTATGCAGCCCCCTCTAAGTACAAACTCTAACAACCCTATGGTCTTGTGGTTGCATAACTACTTTGATAAAGTTTATGAAGTATGTCAATAAACCATAAGATGTCAATAAAGTAACAATAAAAACATTATTGAACCTGATCTTTTGGATTATGTAATAATAATCATAATAATAAGATTTATTGATAATTATACAATGAATATGTGAAGTCTCTGATTGCTGAACTAGGAATTATACCTGTATCTGTATCTGTGTAATATATATATAAATTAGCTTATGACTATGAATGTTTCAAACAGTACATAATTTACCACTTAATTTATGTACTATAGTCTGCGCGGAAGTGCTAGTCATCGCCTTAGGTATGTGAGCGGCAGGACGGGGGAGGTAGACAAACATCAAGCTGACGCAGTCTGCCGTCAACCGCCGCGACGGTTACACGATTCAGTTGTACGCGACAGTTTTCTCCAAAAATACATGAGATAAATATTCTAAGATGGGTCCGCCAATACCACGACAAGTGAAAAATATTATTTATAATGTACATAGTTTTTTTTTAAGACGAAAGGGCGACAAGGAAAGTATGGAACACAAATATGATATGAACATTAATAAATTAGTAGCAGAGGCTACAGGAGTGTCTGCCCGCACCGTAATGCGAATTGTAGCTGAAGGAAATTCGAGTCTACAAACATCGGAAATTGCAAAATTTTCATCTCCGCGGAAACCTAAAGAAATAAAAAAGAGAATCCACATTGATGATTTTGACATGGGAGTTATACGAAGAAAAATTCATCAATTTTATACTATTGATAAGAAAATCCCAAGTATTCGTAAGCTGCTTGCAGCTTTAAAAGAAGATGGCATTGTGAACTGTGGTTGTACCTATTTACGACAGCTTTTACATAAGATGGGATATTTATTTAAAAAATGTAAATCTAAGAGACACATTTTAATTGAGAGGCCCAGTATTGCTGAATGGAGAGTAAGGTATTTAAGAGCTATACGGAAACATAGAAATGAAAACCGAAACATATATTATCTGGACGAAACCTACGTTAATAGTAGCCACACCTCCAATATGTGTTGGCAATCCGAATCTGAGCCTGGAATTTATGCTGATATTGGCAAAGGGCGTCGTTTGGTGATTGTTCATGGTGGTAGCCGAGACGGATTAGTTAACGGTGCCTTAACAATTTTCAAATCTGATTCGAAATGTGGGGATTACCATGGCGATATGAATGCCACAAATTTTCATAACTGGGTTAGTCACAAATTGAAAAATAAACTAGCTCCTAATTCAGTGGTCGTAATGGACAATGCCTCCTACCATTGTGTACAGGTAAAGAAAAAACCTACTATGTCAAGTTTAAAAAGGGACATGCAAGATTGGTTACGCGAACGTAATGTTGAATTTACACCAGATAATACGAAAGCCGAACTCTTTCATTTGATAAATAGAACTCAGTCCGAAAAAATTTACGTCATTGACGAAATATTAAAGGCTTCAGGTCATATCGTTCTTCGCCTTCCGCCATATCATCCTGATCTCAACCCCATTGAGCTTGTGTGGGCCGATATAAAGAACAATTTAGCTACAAATTATATAAATACTTCATTGGACGACAAAATTCCAATCATCACAAAATTGTTTTCTGAATTCACTCCAGGAAGATGGCAAAAGTGTGACGACCACGTACAGAAAATCGAGAACCAATATTGGGACCACGATATGAGGTTTGACAATGTAATAGACGAGTTGATCATAAACCTGGGAAACGATTCAGATTCTGAGGAGGATATGGAAATTGAAGACATGTATAGTAATGAAGAAGAAGAAGATATGGATTAATTTTGTGCTATAACGGATTGTTTTTTTTTATAGGATAAGGGTGACAAACGAGCACACAGTGCACCTGATGGTAAGTGCTTGCTGCGGCCCATAGACATCTACATCTATCCTCTATTACAAATCAAAATGTAGATGCGTTGTCACCCGTGATGACTAAGATGGATTGAGGTTTTAATAACCTCCTTATTTGTGATACAAACCCACAGGTCGAACATAGAATTCTCGCAGTATGGTAATTTAGGTTTAATTTGGGTGGTGAGTTTATGAAACTGTTTTGTATCATAAATAATAAAATGTAATTAACGCTTTTAAATACGTGTTAATTTTTGTTTAGCCCGGAAAATATAAATAATTTACCCATTATATTAATTAAGACAGTTTCTAACATGGTTATCCGGAGATTTATCTGTCCTCAAATATCTCGTGTGCGTCTTGTCAATCGCGTCCTCCCCCGTCTCGCCGCTTGCATACCTAAGGCGATGACTAGCACTTCCGCGCAGACTATAAGTGTGTGTTGAGTGTGTTAGCGTTCGTGTGTGTGTGTTTGTGTGTGTGTGTGTGTGTGTGTGTGTGTGTGTGTGTGTGTGTGTGCGTGTGTCTGTGTGTGTCAGCAAGCGTATATCTGCGTTTGTATGTGCGTGTGTTTTAAATGTACTATTAGAAACTATTCCACTTCTGATGTTAAAAATTATTCTCAATATTATTTAAATAAAAGAACACTACCCAGTAACAAACCCTGCTTACTATCAGGACCCAATTACATGATAACACCGAAGTATGCAAATCAACAGCATCACTACCAATCTCAATGTAACACAGGGCAGCTTCTCAGCAATACGACCTTCCTCGCCTACACTAGTAGAATACCCCAACGGGCATAGTAACGACAGTGAATTACAGAATTAGAATTACAGACTGACTGCTCCCTCTTAGTCGACTGCGTGATACTTTATACTGCTAAAACAAGTGGGAAATTATAGTTCTACCTTCAATATTTCTTATTTTCTTTTATTGTTTTACCCGCATTCCTAACACGGCCTTTCCTGACAATTCACACGTCCCCGTGTGAAGCCTAGAGTAACGTTACCGGCTTTAGTGTAACTTTACCGTCTCGGTCTTTTCTGACCATGAAATACATACTAAGTTTTTGCAGAATTGATAACATCGTTCAAATCAGATTTTAGTATACAACTTCATACTAGAGCTTAACACACGCACACTACACATACACTATACACTGAAGACACAGTGCACCCAGCTAAACGCACTCCAACAAGCGGTTCCGCTGCGTTCAGCACTCGCGCAGCACGCGCGCCAGCGGGCAGTCGCGTAGTATTCGTGGCAGCGAGCTGTCGCGCCGCACCAGCGCCAGCGAGACGCTGCGCCACGTCACGTACTCGAAGCGTCAACGGGAGCAGCACCTGAGACCTCACAGGCATCGTCGGGGTTGTAGTCATCGTAATCTGCGTAAAAAACAAATTGTTAATTATCAAAACAACATACACCGTTGCCTATTCTCTCATCCATCACGCATACGAGGCACTCAAACAGAAATACGCTCTCATACCGCAGACTACAATAAAGAACTTCGCATTCACAAGTATGCTTACATCTCCATACGAAGCCTTTTGTATCCCCTGCCGATTCTAAAAGTTGCTCAGGAAAACTCATTCGATTTTCCAACAAAATACCTGATCCAATGCTTGATTTGCCTTTAAATAAATTTAAAATACAGAAATTATTAAATAAATGTTACTCATCCCAGGTTCCAGTTTCCCAAGCGCTCGGCGGCGCCCGGGCGTCCGGCCGTAAGATCCGCCAAGAAACAGCAGCTTATAGCGGCGTAGCCTCAACCTTACCAAAGCTCGGCCACGCACATGACCATGTCCAATTAGCCGTCTACAATTTAGAGTAAATTGTAAAACTTATCAACACATTAGAATACAAACAGGCTATTTATTTTTTTGTAACAGTACTTATAAATATATGAAAATAACGGATTCATTTAGCGGATTACATTATAACATTAAACAAGTCCTCCGTTTCTTCATAATTTAATGATAAAACCATTTTTCTACCTTGTTTTTAAATTTGTAAAGTGGAAGTGGATAAAAGTTAAGAATTTTGTTTATTTTTTTATACAAATGTACACTAAGATAACCATGTTGGCGCCTGGCAAAGGACGTGCGGAAAGCGATTGGAGTCAAGACATTAACTATCGTACGTTTTCCTTCTATTTTGTCTTTGTCGTACGCAGTAGCAAGATGTTGTCTGCTTATATGTTATAAAATGTATAACTGCCGAACAGTAAGAACTTGACAATGACTATAGAGTATTCTAATTGGGAATCTATACGGCTTAAAATTCATCGTTTTAAGCATCGACCTTTGGGCTCTTTCAAGTAGCAAAAAGTGGATTTTGCTTGTGCCACTCCAAACTCTAATACAACAAGTTATTACTGACTGAGCAAGAGCATAGTACACTACCCGAAGTGTACCAAAATCAGCCACATACCTTAGATATTTAAACGCCCAAATTAGCCTCCTTACTCTAGAGGTTTGTAGATCTATATGACTAAACCACTTTTATTTATTTATTTATTTAACTTTTTTGAACCTTATAAAATATATAAGTACAAAAAGCGGACATAATGCTTAAAGCATTCTCTGCCTGTCAACCTTGAGGAGTGGAAAAACATCGAAGGCGGTTATTATAATACATAACAGTACAGAATAAGAAATATAATGAATTTAGGAATTATAGCATATAAACATAAAAATAAAAAATACAAATACCATACATACATATACATATATATATATATACAACGTGTCCCAAAATTCAACGATAAGCCAACACCGGAGGATAGACCTGCCCCGGACTAATCGGGTAAAAAAAGAAAAAAAAATATATCCCAATTATATTTTAAGTTATATAAAAAAAATGAAATTCTTCAGAAATTGAGACCGTTTATGATATTTTTCACTACCATGACCACAATTTTTTAAATATTTTTTTCTTTTTTTTTATAGGCAACCTGAATAGTACTGCTATCTACCACAATTCTTAAAAACTCCAGAATAACTCTTGTTTTATCACGAAAATTAATGAAACTTATTTTATTCCCTAAATTTTTTGAAGACTTTTACTTTTAACCAAATTTAACTTATCGTGGTGTAAAAAAAAAGTATGAACACTAGTATGGCAAGTTTTTTTAAAAATTGACGCAACTAACCAATATTCCAAAATGGTATAATACTCTAGGAAAACAAGTTATAAAAAATATGGGCCTATTATTTCTTAACAGGGGCCAAATGACGGTCGGGTGTAATAAAAGTATTATTTCTTGAAAAATGTTTAATATTTCAAAACAAATGGTACAAACAGTTTCACGTGTAATTTATTAAGTTATTAACATTATAGCAAATGTTCGAACTGTTTGCCACCAGCATTAATACATGCACGACATCGCCTTAAAAATGATCGTTTTATTTGTCTTGCATATCTTCTGCTATTAATGTAATCAGCAGCCTGAGTGATATTTCGACGAAGCTCGTCCAATGTCACAATGGGTTTTGAGTAGACCCTGTTTTTAAGACAACCCCAATAGAAGAAGTCCAGGGGGTTCAAATCGGGTGAACGGGGTGGCCATAAGATAGGACCAAGTCGCCCGATCCAACGCCCTGGATACTCTTGATTTAAATATTCTCGCACAGGACGGGCATAATGTGCTGGGCAACCATCATTTTGGAACCACATGTTTTGAAGATCACTTAAGGGCACGTCGTTTAACAATTCTTGCAAGTCATTTTGTAAAAAGTTTAAATAACTATTGCCATCTAAGTTTCCTTGTAACTCAAAGGGCCCAATTACTTTTCCATTTAATATGCCGGTCCATAGGTTAACCTTAAATTGATATTGGGATTTGTCTTGTCTCATCAAGTGTGGATTTTCATTACTCCAACTATGTAGATTGTGAAGATTTAAATACCCATCTTTCTTGCACGTTGTTTCATCCGACCATAGAATTTTGTCTAGGAAGTGGGGATCTTCACTGTGCCTTTGCAGCATTACACGGCAAAATGTGACCCGTAGCGGATAGTCCCGCGGTAATAACGTCTGCACACGCCTGTAGTGATATGGGTGAAGCTTGTGACGTTTTAATATTCGATGTGCAGAACTTTTCGGGATTCCTGTAGCTTCTTCTATGGCACGTACCGAAGTAGTCGAGTCATTTTCTATCTCCTTGAGAACTTCTTCATCACGATCCAATCTAGGTCTTCCAGCGCTGCTCCTATTGGATGGCATACGACCCTCCGAAAACGCTTGATGCACATTAATAAACACTCGATAATCAGGATATCTTTGAGCATTTGGGTATCTTTCTGGATACAGTCTGCTAGCAGCGTTAGCATTACATCGGCATTCTCCATAGATTAAATGCATATTAGCGTATTCCTGTGGTGTGTACGGTTGCGGCATGTTAAAGGCCAAACAGTCCAAAATGCGCCAGAACTCTAAATCACAAAACACACAATCGTAGTCCAAGATAATGCCAGGTCAGTTCAGTTTGCAGATCACTTCCAGTCCAAATAATGCCAGGTCAGTTAAGTTTGCAGGTCGATTCCAGTCCAAAAAGCCAAGCCAAAAGTCGATAGTATGTACGAGGGCCACGTAAGTTGAATTGGGTACGGTGCGCAGTAAACAAAGGAGCAGAGCGTACTGAACCGACTTGCTGAGAATAATAACAGCTTCTCTACCTGCCCTGTTGTTGTCTCTTTTTAACGTAAATATCTCTATCTATCTATCTCTCTCTAACATCTAAGGTATTAATGCCCCATTCGAATTCCTAGAAATTGTAACAGGAACCCATTTTGGGCGTGTAGTAAAAGTGATTACTGACAATTACAATTTAAGGAATTTGGCCCCTGTTAAGAAATAATAGGCCCATATTTTTTTATAACTTGTTTTCCTAGAGTATTATACCATTTTGGAATATTGGTTAGTTGCGTCAATTTTTAAAAAAACTTGCCATACTAGTGTTCATACTTTTTTTTTACACCACGATAAGTTAAATTTGGTTAAAAGTAAAAGTCTTCAAAAAATTTAGGGAATAAAATAAGTTTCATTAATTTTCGTGATAAAACAAGAGTTATTCTGGAGTTTTTAAGAATTGTGGTAGATAGCAGTACTATTCAGGTTGCCTATAAAAAAAAAGAAAAAAATATTTAAAAAATTGTGGTCATGGTAGTGAAAAATATCATAAACGGTCTCAATTTCTGAAGAATTTCATTTTTTTTATATAACTTAAAATATAATTGGGATATATTTTTTTTTCTTTTTTTACCCGATTAGTCCGGGGCAGGTCTATCCTCCGGTGTTGGCTTATCGTTGAATTTTGGGACACGTTGTATATATACAAACCACATACACACATATATATATACACAAATTCACATATAAATACATATATACACACAAATATACATATATACGTAAAAAACATATTATGATGAAATTAACTATTAACACAGATTAACTCAGATGATGACGCCAACTTAGGATTTCTTTACGACTTTCAGAAAATGTTCTTTAACATACTTTTTAAATGTTACTTTGTTGGAGCGTTGTCTCAAAGTTTCACTTTATTTTACAATCTAAAATGACGCTTAGGTAATTAACAGAATCAGATTTATGGAGCATATGGCATGAATATTGTCGGTCTTTCAGTAAGTTACAGCAATGTAGCTTTATGGATATATTTCCAGTGTGGTTTTCCTTGTTATTAAACTGGATAAAAGTTGTTTTGACAGGTTTATGGTAAGTAAATTCAGTCTTAGTCAGCAGTTTACCTTATGTATTCCAACTTCAGCATTTTTTACAAGCCTCATCCCAAGTCTCTCCATAAAATACTAGCGCCGTGTCATCTGCGTACGTAAATATTTTTCCATTATATAATGGCTGTTGGCAAAGATCATTCATGTAAACCAAGAAGAGACTTGAGCCAAGTATGCTTCCTTGTGGAACGCCATATGTAACTGCGGCACAAGAACTTACTATCCGATCGATTTTAACACATTGTACACAATCACAAAGAAAGTCCTTAAAGAAGTCCTTTGGTAGAGCCATGCTGCAGCTATATTATGGTTGTAGCACGAATGGGTCGGCACGACCGGGGAAGGACCACGCTCTCACAGAAAACCAACGTAAAATAGCAGCTTAACGCTGCTGTGTTTCGTATGGTGAGTGTAGAGAACCGGAGACCCTTTTTACTGGCAAAGAGGCATTCCATCTTAGTCCTCACGGGTAACAACGCATCTCCATCTTGAGTCTTTATTGAGGATAGATATAGATGTCTATGGGTCACAGTAACCACTTACCATCAGGTGGACTGTGTGCTCGTTTGTCACCCGATCCTATAAAAAAAAAGATGGAATGCGCTACACCAAGTCACTAACAGCATTTTCTGTACTTTTCCCGACCTAAAACCATATTGATGACGTGACAGAATATTATTATTTTCTAAGAAATTCATCAACCGAGTATTTAAAACTTTTTCCAAAATTTTTGAGAGCGCAGGTAATACGGTAGGAGATATAGGCCGGTAATTATTTATATTATCTTTAGAGCCACCCTTGTGTACTGGAGTTATAATGGATTTTTTAAAAACTTTTGGAAATATACCCTGATCTAGACAGATTATATATTAGATAGTTTAGTTAAAAGCGGAACAAGAATATTTTTAGCTAGCTTTAAAAGTTTGCTAGAGATAGAGACTGTATTTCCGCTTCGTTGGGTGGAATGAGAACACAGAAATTGACAACAAAAGGCACATTGAAGTTGTACCGATAGTTTTCGGTTTTGTCTTGACTTATTTTGTTTGCCAAATTTTTACCAACGTTTGAGAAAATATCACTTTTACTCTCAATTGCACATGACTTATTATCTATATTATTCAGCAACTCTTTAGCTGGTGCATTAGTAATATTTTGATTTGTAATAATTTTAAT